AAATAAAAAAGTAAGAGGTATTAAATTTTTTTTTCTACGTGGTTTTTATTTATTAATTTTTTATGCACTTTTTTTTCTTTCTACCGTTTTGTTGATATTTCTTCCGCCCCGTGCTGTGCGTGCAGACGACAATCATAGCTATCTCTATCGTTTGAGCGTGTGGAGTTATCGCTATGTGACTTGATCCGTTCTCAGAAGGAAGGTGCTTCATTTAGCGCGCTTATTTTACTAGTGGAAATAAAAAGAAAATAAAAAAATAAAACAATGAAAGTTTCGTATACTGGCGTCTGGCATTTTCATACATTGTTAAAGATTAGTTGGTAAAATGTCGCTGAAGCAAGTGACTTTCTTTCACAAAAGAGTGTTTGTTTTAGCGACATAGCAGAATATTATTTTATTGCATATTATTTAAAAAGAACCTTTTACTTAAATGAATTAGCATTTTTGTATAGCATAAAAAGAATTAGATAAAATTTTATTTCTTCAAGATTGGAAATAATATTCGTAATTTTTAGTTTATTTTGTTATGGTATTCCTTTTGACGATAGTTTTTTTCACCGAATAAAATATATATAGATAAAATTCATGATTATTCAAATAATTTATAGGTGTAAATTGATCGTTAATCGATATGTATTAATTGTTTGTAAATCCTTTTTTTAAATAATAATGATAAAGAATCTTTTACTTAGATGAATTAACATTTTTGTATAAAAATGGAGGAATTAAATAAAATTTCATCTTATTAATATTGGACGCTATTTTTGTAATTTTCATGTTATTTAATTGTATATTATTGATATTTTTCCTCACCTAAAATAAATGCGGAAAAATTCATGACCATTTAAATATATTTTTTTTAATACTCAAATGTTATTTGAAGAGGGGGAGATAAAACAAGTTTTCTAGAACAAATGATTGAACTTTTCAGTCCTTTGGAATTTATCGCTAAGAAATATCGTTTTTGAGTTTTTTCGTCATGAATAGTTCAATGGAATTTACTTCTTTAACGGTAAAGTTTAGTAAACTATTCACCTTACAATTTAAAATAAACGTACTTGTCCAAGCTATTTATTTTATATTTAAGTTGTACGCATGAATTTATTTATACTAAATTAAATAACTTATATCTCGTAACTGTTGCATTAATTTAATTAACAATATGCAAAACAAAGATCATGAATTCTGTTTTTTTTTCCTTCAAATAATTGTTTGTTTGATTTTTCTCGAAGCAAATCAATTAAATAAATATGACTGAAATAAGTTTTTTTAATATCTATTCACGCGTACGTTAAATAGGTTTAGTGATACAACAGTAGTTCAAATTTTTTTTTTTTACTTAAATATTAATCAAACAGTTAAATCAATTCGGATTAATGTCGGACTTTTTTGATTTTCATTTTTTAAAAAAAAAAATCCCTTGACTGTCTTGTTCATAAATGCTGACATCTTTGTCAGCTAAGAAATTGCTCTTTGCATTATGTTACAATTATGTCATAATATATGTTAATTTTTTCCATATCAGTATTGTGAACATTTTTAAAGTAATTTAGTTTTTAAAGTAATAATATACTTATTATTCACTCCATTTTATATATTGAACTTTTGCAAAAAATTTAGAACTGCAAAATATGATGTACGTGACATACATTTTTTAAAAATAATGATTCCAATTATATACTTATAAAGCAATAGTATTTCTTATTTTTATTTTTTTTAAAAAACTATATTCCAAATTTTATTTTTGTCTTTTTAGTTTTACCAGAGTTTAAGTATTATTAGAGAGGGGAAGAGATCAAATTTTTCGTTCATAGATTGATAAGAGATCGAATTTATCTAGTGATTCAACTCATTACTTTTGCAAATTTTTCGTTCATTGATTGATATGAGATTGAATTTGCCTAGTGATTCAACTCATTACTTTTGCAAATATTTCGTTCATTGATTGATATGACATTGAATTTGTCTAGTGATTCAACTCATTACCTTTGTAAATTTTTCGTTCATTGATTCATATGAGATTGAATTTGTCTAGTGATTCAACTCATTACTTTTGCAAATTTTTCATTCATTGATTAGTATGAGATTGAATTTGTTTAGCAATTCAACTCATTACCTTGCTACTCTTTGAATTCTTAATGCAATCAAAGTACGTTCTTAAAAATTCTTGCATAGCTGTTTCTTGGTGAAACTTCCAAATAATCCACGCTGACTAAACTCTTGGCTTCATCTCATTTTCGTTCAATATCTAGCACACCGTTCTTTTGAGAGGATGACGTAGGTATCGGTCATTTCAACCATTTTTCGACCATGCTTTCCCTCATCCCCTTCTTCGTTCGATACCACCCCATTTCTTCCCCCCGTTGTCCGAAAGCGAAACGAAGTGGTCAAGATTTTACTCCCGGTTCTCATTTGCGCAGGTCTATCCCATCCTTTGCTTAAAACTGCATCTTTCCTACTTAAAGCTTCATAATTTATTCTGGTCCAACTGTCATGGCGGACAGGGGGGGAAGGAACCCTTTGATCACTCGGTATGGTCCATTTCCCATAGGAGGGTGCAGTACTGCTCAGTTGGGCTTAGCAGCGAGCCACTATCTACTCTCTCCCCACCCCCTTCATTTTTCCCCTTAGGCGTAGGTTTTAGGGTTCCCCTCCTTTTAGATCGATATTTGAAAATTGGCAGCGGAGTTTAGAATGGCCGTGCGTTCACCCCCCTCCCCTCTTTACTTTCATGCGTGCTTGAAAACAGTGTGGCCCCCACTGAGTTGCACGCGCAGCTGCCCAGTGGCGTAGCGCGGGCTATCTCCTCTTCAACCCTGCTCGCCCCCACCACCCACTCACCTTCGACCTTCCTACGCGTGCTGTGAATAGGTTGGTTGATGGTCAATGCCTCTTCTGCATGTTTTCTGAGGGACTTACGACCAATGGCGGCTTTTAAGAACTATCCCCTCAACAGCCATTTTCACTGTTCAAGATTTGCTGATTCTCATCAGATCTTTCCTTCTAAAATTTAGAGAATCGTCTTGACTTCCCGGGTTTTACGAGGACTTAAAAGAGGAATAGAAACTTGTATTGGCCCATGTTAATTTTTCGTTACTTTTGAAAAATAGTGTTTGCTAGAATTCATTGCATTTAATGTCAGTTGCTCAGATGATAAGGATGAAGTTATTTGAAATCCAAAACAAAATCATTCTTGTATACTATTAATTGCATTACTATTTTTTTTTTTTAATTTCATTTAGAAAGATAACCCATATAAACTAGTTATAACTAGGTTGAAGATTACCTGATAATCGGGTTGTTGTTTATTGCAGTTAAGAAAAATATCCTGATCTTGACATCAATAACATTGTTTGAAATAAAATAGAAGAAAAAAAACTTTCTTTTTTTTAACGAATTAAATTTCAGGATCATAAATATATTATCGTGTTTTAGTGCTTGAAACTTATGAATATTAATCCAACTCGTAATCAGTCGTAGTTATATATTCTCAAAATTAAATAAATACATTATCGATTGTGGAAGAAATTTGTAACGCAAATTGAATAGTATAAAAGTTATTTTTTTACAAATTTTTACGGATTTTCACAAAAGCATGCAGTTGAGTGGGATGCAACATAAATTATTTTTAAAACCATTTATAATTTATGTTGCATCCCACTCAATAAAATTTTAATATAGAAAAAAAAATAGTTATTATTTTTTTTTTTAAAGAAAAGTGTTAGACAAGAAATTTAAAATTTCTTATTTCATTTATTTAACTTAGCATTTTATTAAAAAAAGTCTGAAAGACAGTAAGTTTTTGTATATATTTTTATAAAATTTAAAACTATGTTGTAATGATTCTAATTAAATTTTTCATTTATAAGTTGTAATTTTAAACTATGTAATGTATGAATTCATATAAAAAATATTAAAGCGCCTTTAAACATTGATTTCACACTGGTCACCATTAATGCAAATACATTTTTTATTGGCATTTTTTAAAAAAAAAGGTTTCTTTAATTTGATTGAATGTTAAAACATTAATTTTAATTCTCGTGAAAAACTTATTTGTCTTTGCATCAAAACTAACGAAAAAAAAAGTATTCGGTTGATATTTGTTTTTTTTTACTCCACTCTTCTAATGCATAAAAAATGTTTAGCATTGGTGGGAATAAAGTTTTTTTCCTTCTCATTAAATCCATCCTCTACTTAGCTGCGTATTCTGTTAATGACTTATTTTACAAAATTTAGAAAGTTTGTGTTGGCCTTTTCTTGAGATTAATTCTCGCATTGAGCTTACATTCGCTTTCAGTTTTGATCTAAAATGTATGCATTAGGACTTATTTTGCTTAATGTAGAAAACATTAATATTAACGTTAATGAATAATTATAAATTTTAGCATTCATTTTAATTCTTCGATTTGTGAAGCTTTAAGAAATCTGTTTGTATAAAATGCAGGAGATAAAGAAAAATAGTGTTAAAAATGTTTTTGGTGCTTTTAGTTTTTTTAATTTAAATTTTGAAAAAAGATTTTTTGTTTTTCATTTTTGCTTGAATTAAATTTTTTATAATGGAATTTATGCGCTTTTTCAAATTAAAAATTTTTTTTCACTGACAGCAAGAAATAATAATAATAAATAAATAAATTAAAAATAAAAAAAAAATAATGAAAAATTAACACTAATTAATTTTCATTCTCAATATATTGCATTTAATGAACTTTTCATATTTTCATATAAAAGGGAAAAAAATTTCGATCATTATTCAATAATATTTATTTCAAAGTCTGCATTTACAAGCAAATTTATTGTTACAAAAACTTTTAATAACATTTAAAGATTTTATTAAATTATAAATATCGTTATTAGAATGTAGAACACTTTTTTTAATATTAATTGAAATTATATAATGAATTTTTTTTTATTTAGTGATATCTTTTAATAGTTTAATTGTGTAAATGATCCCGTCTTCTTCAATAATTACTTAATTTATTAATTAATATTATAAAATTTTCACCTCCATAAGCGCAACTAACTTAGCAATTTAAATATGCATTTGTAATTGCTTGTTTTTTATTTTAAATTTTTGTTTTAATACGAACTTCTGTTTCAATTAATTTGAAATATCCAGATCGTATAATGTATGAAATTAATAAATATATTTATTTCAAGTTGTTATTGAGTAGGCATTACATAAGTTAATTGTGCTGTACTGTTATCACTCTATATGCCTTTTTAACGATGCAAATTTTGACGTATTGTTTTATTATGTTAAAAATAAAACAAATATGCTCGCAAAATAATTAAAATATTCATTTTAATGTAGTAGAAAGCGTAGTTATGATTTTTTATTTTATTTTATAGCTGCGTATAGGCACACCAGTCGTTTTCATCATCGTTCTTACCACCAATCATGAGTTTCGCACAATGATAAAAATTTGCGTTCATTTTATTTAAACAGTTAATAAACAACAACATTTTTTTAAAGTTATTTTACATTGTCGAGTTACATTTTTAATTATTTGCAAGGACGAGTTATAACAAAATTGATGAAACTTATAATTGACCGTTGATTTATACAATATTAACTTTTCAAAATTTAAACTCATTAAATTTTCACTTTCTCAAAGACTAATAATCGTTGACAACATCTGAAAAACATTTAAAATGATTTTTAAAAGTGTAATTCACAATTTTAATTAGCTAATTAGTTTTAACAATTAACCCTACTATCGCAGAGAACCGCTATTCCCGTATGGTCATTTTATTTCTTTCATGATTCAGAGGATGATAAAGGAGGGAGGGAGGGAAAAAAAATTTTAAAACTCGAAAATAAGTGAAACGAAAAATATGCACGAATTTGTATTTAAATGGAAAGGGAATGGGCAAGGGCTTACGAAAATGAAACTGATCGATAGGGGGGTGTGAGCGAGGGTGTTGTGAATGTAGAGTGGGAAGGAAGCAAAAATACCGTTACTATGGCAGTGGTTGTAACAGTGAGTGCGTTTGCCACGTGGGTTTATAGTCGAGGCAGTTGTAGTAAGTGGCGGAGAAGCAGTAAAGGAGCGGACGGTGAGAGAAAAAAAATCCATCATTGGCTCAACCCTTTAACACCAGCAGGCAGTAGCGTCGGACAAAAGGGCCTTCTCCATCCCCTTGTCCCTCCCTCCCTGTGCGGAGAGCGGTGGCTACCAGAGAATTCATCTCTACATCCACACACACACTCTCAGCAGCCTCTTTTGAATGCACGACGCCGGCTGAAAGCGGACGAATGCTGAGTTCTCCCTCTCGCCATGACAGCACTACTCCCGAATTTCCTACTCATCTTGCGTTTCTTAGTACGTCCACGGCTATGGAAAGAACTAGTATTGCATGTGCCACGCCTGTTATATCATTACAAAAATTGAAGAACTTCCTGAGACAACCCACCAACTTCCTAACTCAACCCCGATTCAGGTTTCCTCATCATGGTAAGTACCCCTTTTTACATCCACACAACAACAACACAAACACGCGGACTTCTTTTTCTTCTAGTCCACGTTTTCTCTGGATGCGCGAGCATTGCAATGGGCCCAAAGGGTTAAGCAACAACAATGGCGGGAGTATGAACGGGATTCTCCCTAGCTTTCTTCTTTTCCGAGCTTCCTCCCCCGCAATCACGGACACTGACCACTTTTATGCACCTGACCACTACTAGTCTCCATCTTCTTTTCCCTCCTCTCTTATTGCCACCCACTAAAAAAATAATTTTCTTTTCATCATTGTTTACGTCGATTAAAATGCTTAACGCAATTTTTCGGAATTAAGAGCACACTTTATTGTATGTAAATTTCTCTGAAGAAAAAAAGTTAACATTTCTATTATCACACAACCCCCAAATTGTCATGAAAATGCATTTTGTCATATGTTTTAAATCACGATACTTTATACAATATATAATATACATTATTTACATTCTTAATATTTATAAAATATTAATATACATTATAAAATCGTACATTATAAATAATATATAATTTATAAAAACAATGTATCACAAAGCATCATTATAATTTAATCTAATTGAAGTAGTGAAATGGGCAATTTTGTGTTATTTTTCTTTTAAATAAAATTACATTTTAATCATTTAAAAGTCCAATTTATAATTATTTTTAATCTGTAAACGTATTATCAAAAATAGTTATTTCTTTTAATTTTTAGTTTACATTTGTCTGATTTGATGATATTGAATAAAATTAGCTATTGTAATTTTTATTTTTTTAAGTCGCAAAATAGTCTACTATGAAATAATCTCGAGCTATGTTTTTTAGGTTTCCTGAAACTTTATGGGTTTAATTCTTGTTTATTTCCAAGCAGCTGTAATATTTAGCTAACTTCTACTCCGTGTTTTCTAAAAACCCGTAGTCACGTTTCTTTTTGCATAAAATTCGAAAAAGTATTAAATTCGGATTCATGATTGAAATCGTGTCTTATCTTGGATCAGTTATTTCAGCATTAAGATGATTTCAATTTCCTTATATTTCACCTACTGAAAACGTCTTATTTCTTTACATCATTCTTTCTATCATATGTATGAGTAAAAATTTATAAGAATTTAATCAAATTACATTTCTCCTGCCCCTTTTTGTGTTATCAATTACTATTATTTGATCTATTGATCTTCAATTTTAAATTATTTGATTTCTTTCCCTTTTATTGTAACATTTTAAAATTTATGCAAGAATAAACTTGAAAGTATACCATAAAAATGCTTTGTTCTAAGTTTTTGTATACCATGAGTTTCGTTTTAAAAGTTTTTTTTTTTCATTGTCACTTCAAGATTATTCTTTACTAAAAGTTCATTAACTATTTTATTTTTATCAAATTCTATTTCTTTAATCATATTGATCTTAATTCCAATTTTTTTTATTCCAAATCAAATTCAAAACTATTCTGTTTTTTGTGATAGTTTCAAGAAATTGTTGTTTTCTTTCACTTAGTTTTACTACTTCAAGGAAATGTCAAATTGATTTCTTACTCTTAAGCCACTTTGAATGGTTCAGGAATCTGTTTTTATTTTTTTTTATTGTATTTGTTTCTACTACTTCTATAGTCAAACTAAGCTTCCCTTCAATAATTTTATGTTCCAAAATCATTTTGAAAATATTTATTTTTTCTGATTATTCTATGAATTATTTTTAAATTATAATTGCTTCTACTACTTCAAAGAATAGTCAAATTGAGTTTTATTTCAAGAAGTTTTTATTTAAGCACTCTAAAACTATTCACTTATCTTCTGATAGTTTTTCTGAAAATTTTTTGTGTTCATCATATTCGTTTTTACTACTTCAAAGAATAGTGAAATTGAGCTTTATATCAAGAAGTTTTTTCTTTAAGCACTTTAAAACTATTCACTTATTTTCTGATGGTTTTTCTGAAAATTTGTTGTTTTCATCATATCGTTTTTACTACTTCAAAGAATAGTCAAATTGAACTTTATTTCAAGAAGTTTTTCATTTAAGCACTTTAAAACTATTCACTTATTTTCTGATAGTTTTTCTGAAAATTCGTTGTTTTCATCATATTCGTTTTTACTGCTTCAAAGAATAGTCAAATTGAGCTTTATTTCAAGAAGTTTTTCATTTAAACACTTTAAAACTATTCACTTATTTTCCGATAGTTTTTCTGAAAATTTGCTGTTTTCATCATTTTCGTTTTTACTACTTCAAAGAATAGTCAAATTGAGCTTAATATCAAGAAGTTTTTTCTTTAAGCACTTTAAAACTATTCACTTATTTTCTGATGGTTTTTCTGAAAATTTGTTGTTTTCATCATATTCGTTTTTACTACTTCAAAGAATAGTCAAATTGAGCTTTATTTCAAGAAGTTTTTCATTTAAGCACTTTAAAACTATTCACTTATTTTCTGATAGTTTTTCTGAAATTTTGTTGTTTTCATCATATTCCTTTTTACTACTTCAAAGAATAGTCAAATTGAGCTTTATTTCAATAATTTCTTATTCTCAAACAACTTTAAAATCATTCATTTTTTCTGATAGTACTAAGAATTTGTTATTTTTCTTAGATTTCGTTTTACTATTTCAAAGAATAGTCAAATTGAGCTTCCTTTGAATAATTTCTTATCTCCAAACCGTTTTGAAATTATTCGTTTTTTCTGATGATTCTAAGATCTTGCAGTTTAAATTATATATGTTTCTAGTATAGTTCTTCTTCAAAGAACAATTAAATTAAGCTTCGTTTCAAAAATTTATTATTCTCAAACCACTTTGAAATCATCCGCTTTTACTAATAGTTCTAAGAATTTATTTTCGTTATATTTCTTTCTACTTCGTCATATTTGTTTAAAAATATAGTCAAATTGAACATCCTTTCAATAATTTCTTATTCTTTAAACAATTTCAACTTGTTAATTTCTTCTGATAGTTCTAGGAATTTATTGTTTTACTTATTTATTTATTTTATTTTATTTATTTGTTTTTTGCGTTTGTTTCTACTACTTCAGAAAATTGTCAAATTTAGCTTCATTTCAAAAATTTCATATTATTAAACCACTTTGAAATCATCCGTTTTTTCTGATAGTTCTAAGAACTTATTTTCATCATACTTGTTTCGACTACTTTAAAAATATAGTCAAATTGAACTTCCTTTCAATAATTTCTCTTTCTTAAAACAATTTCAAATTGTAATTTTCTCTGATAGTTCTAGGAATTTATTCTTTTAATTATTTATTTTTTACATTTGTTTCTTCTACTCATTCGTTTTTTTCTCATGGTTCTAAGATCTTGTAGTTTTAGTTATATATGTCTCTAGTATGGATCTTCTTCAAAGAACAGTAAAATTAAGCTTCCTTTCAGCAATTTCTTCTTCTCAAACCATTTTGAAACCATCCTCTTTTTCTGATAGTTCTAAGAACTTAATTACATTATACTTGTTTCTACTACTTTTAAAATATAGTCAAATTAAACCTCCCTTCAATAATTTCTCTTTCTTAGAACAATTTAAAATTGTTAATTTTCTCTGATAGTTCTAGGAACTTGATCTTTCATTTATTTATTTTTTACATTTGTATCTACTACTCCAAAGAATGGTCAAATTTAGCTTCTTTTCAAAACCATTTCGAAATTATTCGATTTTTTCTGTCAGTTCTAAAATTTTATGCTTTTATTTTACTCTTTTCAACTACTTCAAAAAAATAATCAAATTCTTAGTCATTCTCAGACAAACATGTCATTCTTTCAATAATCTCTTATTTTTTAACCAGTTTTGTCTAACGTCTTTTGTCCTGTTTTGGAAATTATTGCGTTTATTATATTTGTTTAATTATATTTACTGTTTTATAATATTTGTTGTCTTATTAGTTTCTTCGTCTTAAATTAAGTGATAACTTAATTAAGGCTATATTTTTCCAATTAAAACGTTTCTATTTGTTCAAATTTTTAGATTTAATCATCATTAATGTTTGATATTGAATATCTATTACTATTTGGCTAAGTTCCAATAATTTTTCCAGCTTTCTATATTGCTTATTTAAAACTTTTTAGCGTAAAAATTTATCATTATTTCGCAAATATATTTTTTGTTAATTTTCTTCCATTTCAAATAAGTAACTGGACAATTTTTGTATCAAAATTTCTTGTTGCGCTATTTTTTTTCAACTAAATTATTTTTAGTAATTTTCTTTCTTTTTTTTAATTTGATCATCTATTTAATTTGTATGTCATTAGAGTGTGTATTTTGCTTAGCTTAAAAAAAATCATTTTCAGCTATCAAGCATTTTTAATGATTCCGGTTTAAAACCTCTTTAAATCGAAAATTTTCATTTTTTATTCGAAAATTATTTATTTATTATGTTCAACTTCCGTAAATAATTGAAAATTAAAAGGTTTTTGTTTTTAAGTTCTTGTTGCATCATTGCATAAAATTTTTTCAAAACATGATTGAATTGAAATGTCAACTCTATGATGTATAATACTTTTATACAAACAACTCGTTACTTTTTATGTATAATTTATTATCGAAAATAAGTTTGAATGGTGCACTGTTGTATACCCAGTTGTTTGGTATGTATTTTTTAATGGCAGTAAAATATGACTATCATAAGAAACTGTTTACTGTTTCACATTAAGTCTGATACAAACTATTTTTCCATTATACTCTTTTTATGCTCGTTCAATAAAGGTTAAATTTACTTAGGGATATTTCAAATATGGCTGCACCAATTGCTAAGACTACAAAGTTGTAAAAAAATTGGAAATGGTTACACGTATCCTACTGCAAATATTTTTTGATAAATACCAGCAAAAATATAGTCTTACTATATTTTGATATTTAGCAGTAAGATAAGTTTTGGATTGAATGTCGCGACAAATTGAGAAATTAATAAATAATATAAATATTTTTGCATGCTGCTTATAAAAATGTAGACAAAGAACATACCATTATCATCTATTTTATGTCTTTTTTTTTCATTT